GACTTCTCCCACAAGCTCCGAAAATGATATAGCACACATCTTCCTGGCCTGACTCCCTGTACCTCTGACTGCTTGTGATGAGCAAAGGACCAATAAAAGATCAATGACTGAATGGGCAGTGGGTTAATCCCCTGAATGACTCATTAAACCTTCTGTGTCTTGTTGGAGTCAGAAAGACATTGATCTCCAGTCCACTACTGTCTATATTCTCAGAAGTGGAATTTTTCTTTAAGAGTAAAGATTGATGACAACTTCCAATTTTGAATTAGTTAAGGGTTTGTGCAGTTTCAACACTGTAATAAGAGATGCTGACACACTTTTAAGTACAGGAAGCACAAAAATAAAAATTCGGTTAGATGCACAGAATGTCTCAAAAGAACATTCTCAGGCATTCTGCAGTATAACAGAAGGTGGTAGTCTCTTTGAAATATTATTCATGTATCCCTAAATAATCATTACCATTCTATAGGTAATGAAATGACAGGAAAGAAATGCAAATTGTATAGCCCTAGTAAAGATTGCCATATATCAAAATATCTCAGATTATTCTGGTTTCACACAAGTCTTCATGTTAAAATTAACAAGGTCACTCACTCATATGACTTGTTTTTATTTAGCTTTTTTGTCCTAAGTTCTTTCTTCTGAAACAGTAGATGAAATAGTTGGCATAAAAGAAAGTTTCTTAAATAGAAAACTTCCCTCAAAGTAATAAAAACCAAAAAAATGTCCCAACAAGTAATTTTTTTATACCACTATGTCCATAGTGAAGGAAGACTGCCTCACAGAAATCTGTGACAAACCACTGTTCATCACCAGCCATCTTAGTGATCCTACAGAGGGACCCAAAACGCACATGTGGCAGAGATGCTCAACTTACCTCGAGATTTGGGGCGTTTTAGTCTTAAGAGCATAAAGCAGTGAGCAAAAATGCTTTCCACTGGACAATGCAGTGAACAGGCTACTAGACGGTAATCATAAGGACAGAGCATGCAGAATGGAAATCATCACTACCCCACTAGAAAGGCTCAGAATAGGCAACAGAGGGGAGAGGTTGATGTGAAGGATACATGGGCCAACGTTCCTCAGATGCCACATGGCAGCAGTCAACATCATGCACTCAGCACTGCGGCATCCTCGGTGGCCACCTTGATCCATTTTTTACATTTTCATCTTACCCAATGCTGGCAAATTTTCAACTGGGAAACTTTCCACCTACCAAATGTTGGTTATGAAAAAAAAAATGCATAACCTCTGTTTTGAAAGAAAATTCTGCAGAAGTGGTTATATTGAAATATTCTAAAAGGTAAAGAGAAGAGTTTAAAACAAGAAAAACAGTTGGTCAGTAAGTGGAAGATACTGCTGTGAAGACCATATAATCCCTGGAAATCCAAAGGTGTGCTTGGCTTACTGATGCTTCTCAAAGGCTCAGCCTTCTCAAAGGCTAGCTTCTTTGGGCCCCTACATTTTATATCATTTAGTTTACTTTCCAGTTTTCTCTCAAGTTTTGGTCCACAGTCTTCCAAGGCAAGTCAGTCAACCTGGAGGGTGTCACTTAAGTGGCATGTTAATCTTGGGTCCCAACAATGGAGCTGGATCATTCCCAACTGTCTTGGGATAATGAAACTAAATGTGGATTATCTTTAAATAGAAACAAACAAGAGATAAAAGCTGAGACTTTGGTGGATTAAAGATCTTTGCAATTCAGGTTGTAGCTGTGGTTAAGCTGATGAGGACAGAGGTGGGGGTGGAGGTCCAGTTCTCACACTTAGGAGTAATTCCAAAAACCTTTTGAGCAAATAAATAGTAGAGAATGAACCTGGATAGTGAAAGATTCATACTAAAGTCTACAGAAAATGTATTGGAAAGGTACAAAGAAAATTCATATGTGTGCATAACTATATATAATTATGAATGAGTATATGGCTGTGTTATGTGCAATATGTGCGCGACACAGGGATATACACCTGATTGTTAACCGAAAGGCCAAAGAGCAGTAACACTAGGAAGCAGAATGGAAAATAACTGAGTATGTAACAACTACTCTAAAATTCTTATTTGACAATTTGTTATATTTTATTTCTGGATCCAATTAAGACCTTGGGAAACAGCAATGCAGGTCCCATCAGAAGCAAGTTGTGGTTCAGTACAGCACTCTCTTAGTACAGTGGGTACATAGAGAGAACTATGGCAACTATAGCTCAGAATGCCAGCCAACAACGAATTCCATAACAGGAATATACACGCATCCGCATCCATTCACTCACTCTTATTTACTGAGCAGTCAGGCTTTGAACAACATAATTAACACATTCCTTGTTCACCTATGCTTTTGCCTCAAACTTCACCTTCTTTAGGAATCAAAGATATTGAATACTTTGTAAACAAATGTTCCTATGAAACCATTGTGTAAATGCAGTGGCACCAAAAGTGACAGAAACAATTTTTTTTACTATTTCAAGGGCAACAAAAATGCTAAAAAAGCACATCTATGAACCAGTTTTATTTTATTTGCATTTAACATGATTATACACATTCATGTGTCTAACAAGATCTGCACTGTTACATTAAAAATACAGTACAATAACATTCAACATGAGGTACTTCATATTTATATATTTTCCTTCATAAATAATGCTGTAAGCTGCTAAAGTCAAGCACACTGATGCACAGTTGGCTGCAGTGTCCTGAATTAGCTGAGCTTATTTAAACACTTTAAAAAAATGACAGTTCAGTGCAATAATTATGTAGAAATTAGACCATTTACTTAAATACTATCTTAAGATATGATTAAAGAATGCTGCATTAGAACTGCTAGCCTAGTTACCCTTATCCCCAGTATGAACAATGATGAAGACTGCCAGGTATGCTGGGCAAAGCATCTACAGCGGTTTCTGCTTAATGAAGTTGTGTTTATACATGAGAGCTGCCAGCCCTGTCAGAACAATGGATTTTATTCTTACAAACTACAAAGTTCAAAATTACCAAAGAAAACCAAAGCAAGAGCATTATCTTTCATTTTGCTGAAAATGTATATAGGAGAATAGGTTCAGAACATAACATTTCTTATTTTAGGTACAGCTTTTCAATCTTACCCATAGTTCTTGACATAGACCAAGTCAGAAAGTGGATATATCTTTTTGGAAACATAATTTCTATAAAGTTAAGTTCTTCCATCCTCAGTGAACTGCACTTGCCCAGCCACATGGAGGGCGGCTCAGTCACAGTAAGAGTGAGTTGGGGATAGACAGTGCCCCTTTAAGGCTATCACACCCAGCCCAACTATCTCACAGGACGCAATCTGTGCTAAATAAAGTTCCTTCTCCTCTGGCTTAAAAGTAAGTGCCTTCTAGTCACTTTGTATGTACCATACTAATTTGTATGGTATCTGTGAGTTACTGAAATGTTTTACCATAATTGTAAAGCAAAAACCTTTGTTGAAGTAATTTTAATTGACAATGTACCTTTATCTCATTGATGCTTTGCCAAAACTACAACCTGTCATCCTCTTTACTAGGAAACAATTGAGAGATAATTTTGGAAAGTTGTCCTAGGAATATTCAATATTCATCTAGTCATCAATAAAAGCTTTTGTCCTAGGAATATTCATCTAGTCATCAATAAAAGCTTTTGGTCACCTATGTTAACAGATGTATGTAATGGCAAAATGATTAAAACATTTCCCATAATCCAGTGCTCTCCTCCACCAGGGAAGCTGGCCAAAGGCCACAAGCCCATATCTGCAGGGGAAGAAATGGCCCAGATACCCAGTGAGTGGAAGCAGTCACTCATTGGGCCTTGCTGACACCAGCAGGGGGGTGGGGGTTATGATACACCCACCACTAGCCAAGCAGGGAGGAGGCAGTTCCTGAGTTGGCAAGCACGCTTGCATGCACATATTGCGCAGGCACACACACCCCAGGACTAGCCCCTGCTCCAGATAAGCTAACTTTGGCTTACAGAGCAGGAGAAGGAGGCGGCCAGGGACCACACTCTGGGTGGTGGGGAGCCATCTCAGGATCACATTGAGCAGAAAAGCTGCCCAGAAACACATGGATATTTCAGCATCAAGTGACTACATTGGACACTACCAGGGCCATAGGCACTAAGCCAACATGAGCCATCATGGAAAAGGAGAAGTTGTCCGCGAGCTTTTGCCTCTTGCTTATGGTATCATGGACAAATAAGAACTGCATGTGATGCTGATGAGGTGAATACTCGGTATAACCCAGTGTCACTCCGAACCATTTTTCAAAAACCCTGCAGTCATATATTGGCACTTTAAGATGGCCAGAGGCCAGGTTCTAGCAGTCCAGAAGCTTGTTCATAATCAACAAATAAGATCGTCTATGGTCAAAGATCAGATAAAGAATGTTTCGATTTAAAAGAAAAAGCATAAAAAGCATTTTATCACATTGACAAGTAGTGCTACAAAACCGTTCTCCACACCTCTAAGAACTGTTTGGTCCCCTTTTAACATGGGAAGGCGAAGGAGAATCCGGAGTCCTATGTAGTAAGACTTAAGAACAGGCCAATAGTGCATGTGTAAGTGTGTATTCGTGTGTGTGTGTGTGAGGGGAGGGGGTCCAAAATTACCAGGCAAGAGTGGCTTTTCTCAATTGTGTATGCTTCTCACTGGTAAACTGAACTACTGATTATACAGGCATTTTCAGGCTTTCCTTTTACCCATTGTAGTGTAAAGTAGCAAGTTTGCAGCCTTGTTTTCTATCAACAATGACATTTTCCAGCTTAATCACTTCTGAAAGAAGTTGTCTGCATTCTGGTATCTTGTCTTCTAAACTGAAAGAATGTAAGTCTGCTTTGTAATAGAAGTCATGGCCTAAACAAACATCTAATTCCTTACATCAGGCGTCTGAACTGTTTAGTGGGTAACACATACATGAACTTAAGATACAAAGAATATAAAAGCGAGGCCCAGAAGCAACAAATGTAAAAAAAAAAAAAAAAAAAAAGAAGAGTCAAAGGTGACTACTGGCCTACTGTTTACTTTCTAAGTTTACTTGTTACAAAGCAAATATTCTTTCAAATTTGTACACTGAGGTTTACCTGTTTTTTGTTTTTATTTATTTATTAAGAGAAAGGGGTTCTGTTTAAAAATAATGATACTACTTTCGGATACATATTTCCATCCATCAAAGGAAATTCAAATTGATCCAAAATCATCTTCAGAGGTACAGAAGTAGGAGGGTGGTGGGCACTTGGAAAAGCACATGATCTCCCTAGGCGTACAGACGCAACTTGAAAACCACAAAGCCTGAGTAAGAACTTGGCTCTTCTAAGCATATAGTTAAAAGCGGAATGTTGCATTTTAGCCTGTACATAATTAAAAGGTTCAAAGACATTAGAAACTGCCTACTGCTTCATTCATTACAAATTACCTGTGCTGACCACATATCTGCAGATGAGCTAAGCGTCAGGCAAGGAGGGCCCGTGTGGGCACCTCATGCTGCATAAGAGAAGAAAAGTTCAGGCATAGAATATGAGTTCGGGGATCTGCCCTCCCTGTACACCAGTGCCATTGGTGCTGTCTGAGGAGCACTGGAACTGGACAGTCACCTTGCCACACTGAACTTCCGTCATGCCTTCTTGTCCAAAGTAGCTGAGTTCATTGCCATCCAGCACCACACTGGCTGTGTAGAAGGTGTCTGGCTCAATCTGTACTGGATATTCAAACCACACAGGGAAGGTATTGCTGGATCCATCTGAGAAGTACTTGCTCAAGTTCTGGCCCAGGACAACGCCCTGCCGTTTGAGTTCAATCTTAGCGCTGTACTCTGCAGAGCCACAGCTGGAGCCATACAGCCCAAAGCCTGCGATGAACACCCTCTTATCAACTGCAAACTGGATGCTGTCACAGCGACCCCGATAGCGCCACTGGTTGCTCCGATAGGCACATGACTGGAATCGGTGACAACGCTGGGGGACCAGGCCCTTTCTGGCTTTACTCACAAACTGCAGCTCCGGTTTTTTGGATGCAGTGTACCAGAGGAAGATGTCATTGGTCTCATTGAGAGTTAATACCCCGGACTGTGCAGCACCATTGGCAAAGTCATCCAGGGCCATGGTGGGGATGCGGATCAAGTACAGGGCCTTTCCTAGGACCTTGCGTTTATTTTCAATGCTCAAGGCCAGATCTTGTCGCTGGCATTCTACTTCAGCCCAGTTCAGGGCTGCCTCAAAAACCACTATTTCTTTGGCATTCAGCGTTTCCCTGCGGAGGATACTTTCGAGTGTCTGGAAGTCGATGTCACAGAATCCCTCAGACTTGAGTGCTAACTCGGCTTGGGCATCAATCACCTCCCAGCAACGCTGTGTCAGGTCCGGCTCCTCAAACAGACAGCTCTGAGAGAGGAGTACGCAGGCGTTCTTGGCGCTTAGGCTGGTCTCCAGGAAATTAACACAGGCTCTGGCAAGGTGAGGAACTATGTACTTTTTGGCAGCATACAGTGTGGCCAGCACTGTGTCTGCAGCCAAGTCAATTTCATCACAATAGATGTATCTGAAAGAAAATAGCCAACATGTAATCGGATTTCCCCCAAATGAGCATGTGCAGCAAGGAAGGAAGCCACTGCTTTCAAGCCTGTCCAAGAATATAATTTCATGTGACAGTTACTACAAACATGTTAAAGAAGCATCTGAAATACATTCATAAGGTATTAGTATTTCAGCTCAGCAGTAAGCTTATATAATTAAAGGGATTAACTCTGTGTTACTATTCATCTTCTATCTTGATATATTCAGTACATTTTCAACAAAATAGGAGATACTGCAATTATCTAAAAGATGACTGTATATCAGAGATAAGATTATAAAAACACAGCAAGATTCTATTATACTGCATTAAATGTTAAAGCACTGACATTCCCAACCCCATAGCTTAAAACAAATTTATTTCTCTATGTGTACATGCATGTACGTTTGGGCACCTGGATACTCCTGGAGTCCAGAAGAGGGCAGGCTCCCTGGAACTGGAGTTGTAGGCAGCTGTGAGCCACCTAAGAAGGTGCTAGGACCTGAATCCTGGTCCTCTGCAGGAGCAGAAATCCCTAACCTCTGAGCTATCTCTCTCTTCAGCCCCACCAAAGTTTAAAGCAAACATACACAGTTTTATTCCACTTTCTGTTTCAATAAAAACAAATTCATTTGAAATTATAAGGTCAAAATTAAAACTTTTGATGATTTGAGACTTTCTAAAACACAAAACCTGATATTAAATATTTCTGAAGTCGTTCCAAGTTCAATAAAGCACCACATAAAAACTTCAATACTACCTTTTCAGTGAATTCCACAAAATCTTTTGAGTATTAAAGTACTAAACTCATATTCCTCCTATTTTTAGAACTAAAGCATACATGACTTTCACGTGCCCCATTAGAAGACAAAACAGAGAGCTTACACGTACACTGATCCTGTGCTTTAGTGAACTGTACCTATCTAGGAGATGAAATACTTCTGGGTGCTTGGGGGAATGGTGGGAATTTCTTGAGACAGTCTGTGAAGGTGGAAACGGCCTGCTATCTTATATTACAGGACAAGTGAATAACCAGTGAGAACTCTGCCCATGAACAACACTGAGAAAATTTATCAAAGTTTTTAAGCTAAAGCAGCGAGTATTTAATCTGATTTTTTATAGTTATTTTATTTCATGTTTGTGAAATATAATTAACTTAAGAAATCAAGAGTAGCTTTTGCAAGAAAAAAAAAAAAAACATAAGCACACATATGCAAGCCCAAAATTTCCCTCAGTAACAAACACTTGCTTCCAAGAAATTCTCTTCCCTATAGGCTAAGCCGGTTACACCGGCAAGACCACTCAACAACACAGCTGCAGTATGGTTGTGCTTTGCCTAAGGCCAGGACCAGGAGAGCATCCAGAATATGGGCTGGATTTGCAGCCTCACCCGGGAACTCAAGGGAGCTGCCACTCCTTTTCTGAGTACAACTACTGCCCTAGGACACAGGAGGGGGAAATCTCAGTTCCTACTATTGTAACTGTAGCATACCAACAAGGCAAATGGAACCCCACTCAAGCCCTGTTCTTTCCACTCTACCTGATTCCATAATTTTTAAAAATTATACTAATATGTTCTAGGCACTATATCTGTAAGAGAAGATATTTGACAAATAATGTATCAAATGACTTGGGTAAGATGTAACTTTCTGCCAATCTTGCTCCTGTTTCCTGACTGTACATGTGTCTAGGATACAACACCCTACTTGACTTCAGTGAGGCCAAGATGCTAACTAGGGCTGCATTCCACCAACAACAGATGGCACTGTCACACACTGAGCTGACTTCACAGGCAGAGACGGAGGGCAGGGATCCAAGCAGGTAAAAGAGGTTTCTCAGTGATTGTCTCTAATGGAGTCTGAAGGTTAAAAAGTGATGAAGCAGTTAACGTTATGGTACTTCACATGCTCACTTGCCTTTAATCTCCCTGCTCCCCACTGGGAAAGTTCTAGTTCAATTAGGCTTCAAAGCCATTACAGGACCAAGGAATTACATACTTAAAAACTCTGAAACTGACTAGAACTTATTTTCACTAAGCAGTAAATAATAAATAAATGTTTTAAAAATTGTGAGAATATTGTCAAACTTTTTGACCCACTGGGGAATTTTTCTTCAAAAACAATTTTTTTTAAGTTTATTCGAATGAACTGAAACCCCCAGACCAATATAACCTTGGACAGTTAAGAAAAACCTTATAAATACAACTTATAATAACTAGGCTTAATCCCATTGTTTAGCATTAGACACTGGTAAAGATGATTCTTGGTACCCAATTAACATGATTAGAGTCTGCAAAGGGTCCGTAAGATATGAAATATTTTATGTAAATATGTGACTACCCTAATTCTTTTTTACATCTTTCTATTACTAATTTAAATCGATTGCTTACATTAATCTACAGACAACTATAGAAAACTAACTCTTCAAAAAAATCTCTTCATAACCACAAGCATGTCCAATTTTCTGGGGATGAGGTATATGTGGACAAAGATGAGACAATAAGGTCCACTTCTGGCTGTATTAGACAACTCAGAAGACATGTGTCTTCCCAGTGTTGCTAGCTAAACAAGGTACAGCATTTGTATAACTGTGAAGTAAAGGTCTATTTCTCTGAAACCTTCTTAACATGTATTGCTTTCAGGAGGAGAGCATCCCTATTAAATAGTGTTTACTCCAGAAAGCTACTTTTCTTTTCAAATGTTGCTAAAAAGCACCTCACTACATGAGCTCTTCCCCCCAGGCTCTAGGCTAAGAAATGGCTCTAAATGCCTGCAACATTCCATATGACTTGCAGGGAAAAATGAAGAGCAGCTTTCTCTAAGAGCATTTACAAGGCAAGCAGCACCCTCTCTCTTTAGAATCTTTTCTCTTACACAAAACTTAGATCTGACTTAGAAGCCAGCAGAGCACAAATACAACACAAGTAAACTCTTTCCAAACACGCAAATAATGCTTACTTCAGCATGGCGAGGAAAGCAGCAGGTTCGACGTCTGGTATTCGGATTTCATCTTTGTCCTCAGCAAGTTCTCCATAAAACATTGCATGGAACACTGAGCTCCCAACAGCTAACACGTACTGTGAAGAAAGGTAAATCTCATTTCACGCACTAAACTGAAAGCATTTTCAGCAAGTCAATCCCCCAAAAAAGCTAGCAAATCTGGGCTGGGGGTATGTAATGTACATAACCCTCATCTTTGAAACAGCCAGGTTACAGTGTATCCTGACAGGGAAGCATAAGATTTTCACACAAAATGGGCTCTCCATCAATATCTCAAAGTTTTGACATTAATATACACCCCCACCCTATTGTGAAATAAATAAAACCATGAGCTATTTATCTGATTTCTATAGGAACAGTAAACAGAGGACTTTCCAAATCGGTTACATTTCCTACCCCTGGAGAGTGAAGAGGGCATGTTTCTGTGTTATATATACAACTGTGTAGAAGGAAACAAAGACAAAATTAAGTGTGGCCAAAGGTCAGCATTCTCTGTAATTGGGTGAAACATGCAGTGCCTGCCACCGGCAAGCTGCCCACACCAAGCTCTGTGCTGACAGGGTCCCTCTATGTAAATCTCAGGACTAAACCGGTAATGCAGCTGTTGCTTACTTTGTGTCCTGGCAACCGCTGAGTCCCACCTGGTGGCCCAACCACAAAATGTACATCTGCCATCAAGTCATTATTGAACATCACCGCATTTCTACAAACAAGAGGCAATTCATTAATTCACAGCAGCGCGTACTCCTAACATCCCTTTCCCCAACAGGCAAAACTTACAGAAGCTCTCAAGCTAAGCAACAACAGTTCAGTGTTCCACTTCCCAGCAAAAGAGCAAAGGAAGGGTCCAGCTACACAACTGTCTGAAATCACTGCAGACACATGGGAAGGAACTAAAGTTTTAAAAGTTATCTAAACTTTTACATGGCTTAGGACGAATGAAGGGTTTCTCGCCTCTGCTCCACAGACACAACCCTGCCGCTTAAATGTTACAGCTTGCAAAAATATTTTTATCTAAGAGGAAAACAGCTGCACTGTTTTGGAAAAGATACAAGGCAGCTTTCCATTACCAGTAAAGCTCCTGGGAAAGAGGAAACGGAGACTCATGTTAAATTACATTACAGGTCATGCAAAAGCAGAGACTTCAACACTGGCAAACTTTGCAAGTGAATAAGCTGGCCGGCCAGCAAGGGCGCTTACCTTTCTCGGATGGTAGGATAAAGACCCTGCCAGTTGGGGGCCGGAATGAGGTTGTTGTTACAGAGATTGTGCTGGTGCTGCTGCTGGACAGTGGTGCTGCTGGAGTTGGCTGGCTTCTTACGGGGGAATATATCAGCAGCCATCTTCTTCTTCTTTTTAGTCTTCAAGGTAATTATTTCATAACAAACTGGGGGCAACTTGCTGTTCCCACTGCCACCGCCGCTGCCACCGCCACCGCTGCTGTTTGCTTTCTTTGAACCTTTTTTGGACCTGTTCTTTACTGTCTCTGGAAGCATCAAGAAGAAGGTGAGACATTTCATGTTCTTTTCTTTATCATCTACCATGAGTACAGGATGTCTTTCTTTAGAGCTAGATATCGCAAATTTGCTAGAACATCAAGGCAAAGAGGCTAGCTGGAGCTAAGATGTTAACAGAAACCGACAAGCTGGTATTTTCCTGCTTTTCCCAGCCAGGCAAGGTGACCTTTTCACTATGTTGAAGAGAAACTGGCTTTAAGTTTTATCCAGGACTGGATCTGTTAAATACATTCCCATCATGATTCCTGTTTTTCTTATTTGCGCATAAAAACAGCCGTTTTCTGGATCACCTGAAAAGCTTATGCTGAGCAAAGGAGGCAGGCAGAGAGCCGAGGCGCTTGCTTTCTGAATTAGGTTTGCAAGATGTGGCGAGCCCAGAGAGTCAGTGCGGCCGGCGAAGTTGTGTGGTGAATGGATCGGGGAGAGGAGAGTAGGTATTACAGCCCTGCAGACGGAGTCAGACAGCCAGAGCTCCGAGCCAATAGCTGAAGCCACCAATCAGGATTGGATGAAGCCAAACAGTGACACCTATTGTAGCGTGCACAGCTCTCATATTAAAGGAGCAGCAGTTACATTCTCTTTCTACTGTATATTTAATTAAGATAAACAAGCAAATGAAAGACATTTGCAAACAGGAAGGGAGGAGTTTATTTCTCTTTAGTACAGGGGCATTTTCATTTCAACCAAAACAAGCAAAAGCCATTAACAAAGACTGAGAACACATATGTCTAATCTCTCTTTCTGGCAAAAATCTTCCTCCTAGCAGCATTTACTTGCAAGTATTTTAAACAGGATCTTCTAAGACTATAAAGCCAAAGGGAATCAATGTACTGAAACTAAACCAAACATATTTAAGCACAGCTGGGGAAGGGGAGGGGTCTTTCTTCAGTCTCTGGATGTTTCACTAAGGCCATGCATTTAGCTTGCTTCCAATATTTTCTTGCTCTGCACTGATCTTGGACATGTGTCCCAGGTCACAAAACACTGTTAATTATGATGAGCTTATACCAGCTCGCTTAGCCGTCCTGAAGCATAAGGCAAATTCGAGATATGAAAATAGCATTCAAATGAGACAAATCTGATAATCAGTGTTTAAACCCTGTGATTCACTAAAGATAAGTCAGATAGGGCACTACTCAGGATCTCAAAAATCCAACTCAACTCCTAAGGCTCAATTTTATCTTGTCATACAAATTCTAAATTATCCATAAACTCTAACACAGCACCCATAGTAGGGCTATTTAAAATGATCAAAGTCTCCTATTAACTAGTTAAAAGGCAAAAGGTCTCTTTGCTTTAGATGAGAATAAGGCTTCCCCAGCAGCTGCTAGTAAAACAGCATCTACTGGAGCTTCACAGTTTGTAAAGACAGACTAGTAACTAGAGTGACTCCCACCCCTATCTATGGGATTACTCTGGTTAGCTCAAAGCAGAGAGGCTATTTGTTGCCCCTGGACCCTGATCCTGGCCCTGTGTGCTATGTAACACTCACCTGCATGGTGACTCCTCAGCAAATGAGAACATTGTTACTATAACTAGTATTATAATCAGTCTTTAAATCCCTAGCATCTTAATCCTAAATCATTCCAAAGGTAATCCTTTGTATTGTCATTATTCAAACTCATCTGAAAGCCACTGCAAGCACATAGTGTAAGAGAGACACAGATAAGGTTATCTATCCCCATTTTGGGTGGAACCAAGTGACTGCTTATTTATTACAATTATTGTATTCTCAACTGCAGGGCTAAGACACCACACATCAACACCCTTGCAAATCACCTTCAGTTATACTTTGAGGATAATGTTAGAGATATAATAACCTGTTGGAAAGTATCTAGCAGGCTGGATAGATGGCTAGGTTGGTAAGTAAAGTACTTGCAATGGAAAAATGGAGACCTCTGTTTGGATTCCCAGCACAGGAAGGAAGGAAGGAAGGAAGGAAGGAAGGAAGGAAGGAAGGAAGG